CTGGACCAGTTCCCGTGAACAGAAATGTCTTCCTGCAGATCTTGCCTCACACTATGCTGATCCAATAAGGCTGCTTACAGTTTAGCTTCCTGACCTGGCACTTGACATGGGCCCCTTGGAGGGCAATGCCCTGCACACCACGTCCACTGCACACCACATCCACTGCACACCATGTCCACTGCACACCACGTCCACTGCACACCATGTCCACTGCACACCACGTCCACTGCACACCACGTCCACTGCACACCACGTCCACTGCACGCCACGTCCACTGCACGCCACGTCCACTGCACGCCACGTCCACTGCACGCTACGTCCACTGCACACCAAATCCACTGCATGCCACGTCCACTGCACACCACGTCCACTGCACACCACGTCCATTGCACACCATGTCCACTGCACACCACGTCCACTGCACGCCACGTCCACTCATGTGGCAGGCTGAGGCTTGCCTCAGAAGGCTCAGCCATTCCTCACTGGGTTTGCCTCAAGGCTTGGTTGATTTCCTTTGTCCTTGACCTCGTTCAGAGACCCAGAGTGAGGGTGCCAGGCTGTCCTGAAGAGTCCATACAGCTCCTTCCAGCTCTCAGGCAGGCTTCTGCCCTTCCTGGTTGGTGTTTCCTTCCAAAGGATGATAATACCGCATGCCATGGCACCCATTCCCTTAAATGCTTTCAAACACCTCTTAACGGAAGTCGCTGTATGCAATATTTAAAAGAGGAATAGCTACTGCAGTTCCTTTGGGAAGAGGCCAAAGAAAAGAGAGAAGAATGTTTCCCATCCAAAGGCTGACTAAACTGCCCTGGGCTGGAGGAGGGACAAGATCAAGTCAGATTCCAAATCACTGCCCAGGAAACTGGCAGCCAGTTAAGCCCATCGCCTCACCGGCACGTTCCTATGAAAGGCATGCCAGCATGCCACATCAGGGTAACCCAAAGATCTGTGCCTTGGGCTGGGCCCCACATTCACAAACAGCCTCATATGTAAACTTTATACCTTATCTCTACATGAGGGTATATATACAGTCACCAAGCTACACCGACAAGATTGAAAGAAGACAGTCTATCTATCGTACAGATATGAACTTGTGTCGCATTACCAGATCACAATATGCCACAAAAAACTATGAAATCATCATTTGTATTGGCCCTGTCATTATTTTGTGAAAAATACAATTCTATTTCATGGTATTTTGTGTGTGTGTAAAAATGTTATTTTGTTAAATATAGACATTGCAAATATACCACACTTTTAAACTCTGTTTTGGCATTGTTTTTCCGTTACTCATACCAGAAAGCTCAATTAACAAAAAAGCATGCTCTGTAAGAGAAAAATTGTTATTATCAAGGTCACACTCAAGGACAAAGTGTGACAGGTCACTGGGCCTTGCAATAGCTTTGAATATCATAATGGATGCACATAGCATGGGTTAAAGAATTATTACTTAATTACTGCATATTTATTCCATGTTAATGAATAGCTATTATTACCTACTATGGAATATTTGATAGAAAAGGTCAAGTTTTTCCTTCTCTATTAGGGATTTGACAAGTAATCTCATAACTATTATACTTCATTACAGAAATATTATAGATAACTTATAAAATACAGACAACCAACAGAGAAAAGAACAAATATTTTCAAGGATATGAAATCCCTGTTTAAGCTAAGAGAATATATCTTTTTTAATTCTGGAGCGAAGGAAGTGTCATCCTACATGACTACTTGAACGTCCAGAGTACACAGAGAACATTCTATATATGTTCAACTGAGTTACTAAACTGAATAAGCAATAATTGAAAAAAGGCAAAATAAACACCTGTTCTCCTCCAATGAGATTGTACCTCCTAAGCAAGTTAGAAAAACACGTAGATTACAAGCAGGGCTTCACAGCATAGTAGGATCCTGATGTGACCATACTATTAATAGTGAAGGGGAGTATCATCCTACCAGCTTTAACAAAACAAAGCATTCCTAGGTTGTAAGAGTATTATTCACACAAACCTAGCATTAGCACTCCCCTCGCCAAGAATTACTCCGGAGAAATAACAAGTTATAGGACTTGAGAAGAGTGCAGGAAAAGGTAGTAGTTTACATAAGACATCATACAGAGCTGTTTATAAAAGGTTCCAAACCTCAGACAAGTGAGCAATACTTTCACTAAACTACTATATAATCAAATATAAATGATTTCCATAATATTTCACAATTCAAACAGAGAGGAAAACACAGACACTTAAACAAACACAAATCCTTTATGAAAATTTAGTAAAGAACCTAGTTTAGCAAAGTTTCACTTAAGATTAATAATTTGGAAACAAATTTATTATTTATAACTACATAAAAATTTCCAAACCAATATCCTTAGCTGCTAGGTATAGTTTATAGGTAGCTATCTTCTTTGTGTATACATAATTTGAAGAAAGCTTAAAAAATCTGTCTGATACATGGGGGCATATAATGTAGTAAGCCATCATCAATATTACCGTCTCAGACATCAAGAGATGGCTGCTTCAGCATTATTTACGGTGGCCAAGACATGGAAACAACCAAAGTGTCCTTCGACAGATGACTGGATAAAGATGATGTGCTACATACATACAATGGAATATTACTCAGCCATAAGAAAAGATGAAATACTGCCATTTGCGACAACATGGATAGATCCTGAGATTATCATGCTAAGTGAGACAGAAAAAGTCAAGAACCATAAGACTTCACTCATATGTGGGATATAAAACTGAAAGCAACAAACAAACAAACAAACAAATAAAAAAATCACGGACAACAGTTTATTGGTTACCAGAGAGTAAGGAGGGGGTGGTAGAAGAGGGTAAAGGGGGTGAAATATATGGCGATGGAAGGAGAACTGACTCTGGGTGTTCAACACACAATGTAGCATATAAATGATGTATTACTGAATTGTACACTTGAATCCTACATAATTTTACTAACCAATGTCACCCCAATAAATTTAATAAAGATAAAAAAAGAGAGAGAAAAAAAAGAAAGAAAATACTAGGCTATTGTAGAAAATGCTAATTGTCTTCCGAAGAAGTAGATTTTAAGTAACTACCAACTAACACACAGTTATTTGCAAATGAAATAAAAATAATGAGAGAGAGAGAGAGAGAGAGAGAGAGAGAGAGAGAGAGAGAGAGAGAGAGAGAATATGAACTGCTCTTTTTAAAATTTAGGGATTAAATAAACTCCTTCATCTGGGAGATCAAATTATTGACCCTATTCCATCCTTACTAGAAATTCTTCAGAAAAATATATGTATATGCTTTAAAATATTTCCTATAACAGTGATTAATTTTAGATATGTGTTAATAATGCTGTTATAAGCAAATAAACCACATTAACCTTCCAAATTTTCTTCGATTTAGCTACTTATTTTTATATACTATTTGGCTAACTCCCTCTCAAAACACTTGGTGGAGCAATGATTTATTCTTCAATTGCCTAAAGGCTTGAAAGAGTTAATTTAACACCTAAACTACTCTCTTAAGTCCAGAATTTATGTCATTCATCTTCAAAATTCACTCCATGTTTTCAGGAGTAACTCAAAAATGTAACTAAACCCTTGACATTGGAAAAGAGCAGTAACCGTTCTCAAACCAAACCCCACAAATGTAGCACATCTATTTCTTTCTTCCAGACAATACACAAGTAAACAAATTATTCGTAACCACAAAAAGACCTAGTGGAAATTTTCCATTTGCAACAACATGCACATTTCCTCATTATGTACAACAGAAATACCATTCATTTCATTTAGTTCCACATCTTAGCCAGAAAGTAAAATGCCTTTAGGAGTAAACGAGGTGCCAAGCCAGAATATTAAGTAGTATAAAAAGCAGTTTGATGAGCATCTACATTTAGGTGATTATTTACATTATTTACAAGTCATTGATTATTATGCAGAATCTTAATTTCCAATCAAAAGGTCCATATGGCATTGTATTTCTGTAATCGTTACTATTTATAAGAAAAGATAATTGAAAAAAACTGTAATTTAAAGAATTCATATGATGACACACACTCTTTTCTCTATTTCATGTTCCATTTCATCTAATCTGCACAAAATATCAATACCATGCTTCTGCAGCTAAAGATGACTGTTTTGACTTTTTACTTATACTTTATATTGCAATATAGGACTAAATATATGGGATGAAAATCGGTTGGCGCTAACCCTCAAAGTTCTAAATAAAATCGGATAAACAGAATCATGCAGTTGAATTAAATACCGAAACTACTGGCAAAAAAATTTACTCAGGGAACTGGATAATATGCAGGCACAATGGACACACATGAATTTACGTAGCTTCATAGCAAGCAAACATTTTATGAACTCACCCATATGGTAATACCGCAATTGTGGAAAACATACCCCAATAGTCAGACAAATCATTGTCAGAATAGAGCTCACAAGGAGAGGTCAATGGGTGCATGTGGACACCAACTCATTCTTCACACAGCTTAATGAGATAGACCCCTTGCTCACGCGTGGGGCCCCCAGCCCTCTGAGCTACACGGGGCCACACTCTCTTCTCTGCACCTCTAGAGAACCAGGCCAGGAGGCACCCCCTCCACTTTCAATGACAGCACCTTGCTTTTTACTCAAGATGGAGCCCAGGCCCCAGCCTTCTGCAAGACTCCATGCCTGATGGAGCTGAGCTAGCGCTCTCTCCTCAAGCCTCCAAGTCACCAACACCGCACGGCAGGAGGAAACCAGGCCTCCTCCATCCTCCGGGGCCCAGGCCTGCTCCTGCTCAATAGTATCTATAAAAGGGTGATGCCATGACACAGGCAGCATACCTGCACGCGACCAGGTAAGACTTGTGGAAGGGATTCACCACTGCCTCGGCAGCCACACGTCCTTCTGTCTTACCAACACATCTCACGTGAAGACAACCGCACTCCCTGGAACACAGGCAGCTGCCCTTCGCACCGCGCACAGGACAGCAACGCTGCCACGCTTTTCTTACCTTGGCCGCCACGGAGGAGTTGGGCTTCTCCAGTAGGTCCCACAGCTTCTTCCTCTTCTCAGGGCAGCAGGTGTTATCAAACTCTTCTCCCTCTCTCTCTCGCATGGTCTCGGCCTCCCGCCGCAGTTCTTCGTTCATTTGCTCTTTCTTTTGGTGATACCTGGCTTGGCAACAGGACTCTAGGTAGATCTCGTCGATGCCCCAGTAGTCGAGCTCTTGGCCGAAAGACAGGGCACACATTTCTTCCATCATGTGGAGCTTGCCTGTCCGGTAGAAGTTGAGGATGGACGTGAAGGCACCCGGATGCCGGTCAAAGAAATACTCGTTCTCGCCCAGGTTGTAGTCGTCGCACACCTCCAGCAGGCTCTCGTGGGTGTTGCAGTCTCGGAGCTTCCCCAGGCGGGTCCTGGGCAGCCGGTCCAGCGTCCTCCACAGCACTTCGTGGTTCAGGCCCCCCACGTTGATTTTCACTCTCCGCGAGCACGTTTTGCTCCGAATGATGTCCACAGGTTCTGGTGGGAGAGAAAGCGTTGACCTTGATGTCTTCCGGTTTAAGCCAGGGGGGGCCTTTTCTGCCATGGTGAACGGAACACGGCTGCAGAGCCCTGGACTGCACAAGAAGGAGACGTGGGAAGGTCAGCTAAAGCGATGTCCCTCGGAGGCAGGCATTTCCACGGACGCGCTGGGGGGAAAAAAAAGCAACAACCATTTGGTTACTTGTGTCTCTTCTAAAGCATTTTGCAGTTCTGTGGGATTGCTCTGCTGCTCATGCACCAGCCGGAGGTATGATGTTAATCACTGTGTATTCATGGAGATATAAATGTTTGCCTTAGTATATAAGGAGGAAAAGACAACTCACTGTACTGCACAGAACAGGCTGGGCATCCAATGTAATCCATCTTTAGCTGACAACTTGCAAGCATGTCACCAGAGCCTTTCTCATGCTCTAGACTAAAATATCCATGTGATGATCCACTCTTCCTAGATAAACCAGACACCTTAAGCTAAACTGACCATACCTCCAACTTGTCCAACCAGTTCCTGTTCTTTCTCCACCTCAGATTTACGCCCCGCCCCCCAGCACCCTTATGCCCAGCCCCCTCAGCTAAAACTCTGACAAGTCCTGATCCATCCGTCCTTGTCCAAATAAGCACCAATTCCACCTCCTAAACAAGCTTAAGCTCTCTCCACCACCGTTCCCCAGGCCCTGCTACCCTTGAACCATGATGCTGGTTCAAACCCTTAGCATCGCTTCCCTGTATTTCTACAACCTCTTAAACTGGACCCCGAACTCTGGTTTTGTCTGTCTAAAACTCATGCTCTGCGCAGCTACTAGAATTGTCTCTTCAGATACAAACTTGACCTTGCCATGCTTTAAACCCTACAAAGGCTCATGATTGCTGGCAGTATGAAGTCCAGTTAGCTCTACTTGAATTGGCCTGCCTCTCCACCCGCACGGCTCATCTCCCCCTCGTCACTATAATTCCAGCCACCCCAGGCTACACACCTTATTCTGTCTCAAACTTCTGGCCTTTCTTCATACTGCATCCTGAAATGGCCTCCACCCTTCCCATTTTCTTTTGACTGACTGCTGCTTGTCCTTCAAGATGCAGCTCAGACATCACCTCCTCCATGAAGTCCCCCATGGTATCCCTCCCCTAGGGCCATGAAACTCTCTGTGAATGTCTCTTCTATTTCATCAAACCACTGCAATAGCCCTTTTCCCACAGGATTCTGGGTACTCTTGAAGGCAAAGACTATTTTCTCTACTATTATATCCTTATCACTGAGCACCGTGCTTACATATTAGGAGGATTAAATAAATGTTAAATAATGAATCGATTCTTTGCTTTCCAGAAGGCAGCTAGCAAAAGATCTAGTAGGGCTAATGTATATGGCCAGAAAAATGCATACATGGAGTTATTTGGATCACTATGTATCTATGTTTATGTTGTGTGTATATATGTTTGTGTGGATATAGCATGTCAGAATGTGTATGTGTGTGTGTGTGTTTGTATTCTTTTGCTGCACAGCTCCTTATCCTATGTACTAATTCCTTAAAATATTACTGCTCTAGTATTCCCTCTTGTTGACCTAATATTCCTTATTCTGATCTGCAGCAGCAAGCATCTTCTTATGTGATCCTCCCGTTTTTACAGAAATTCACAGAGCTTCAAGAAATTCATCTAAAACACCACTTGTAATGTAAAACACCATTTTTTTTCACAAGTCAATTGTTTATACCAAAGGGAAGAGCTTTTAGATTTAAGAAGTCCTTATAATTAGAACTCTCTTTTAAGATACACACCAATTTATGCATGTCTCTGGTGTCTCCACTCCCATAAGTTAAATTTATTTCCCCCATGGAAGCCGAGTATCCTCTGAAATGAAAATAAGTCAAATTTATGAGAAAAATATAGATGGACTATATAAGAAGTATTTCAAATAGGACACAATAAATACACTTGTGTTGGGAGTTTTTTCAACTGCATAGTCACAGAAATATTTTAAGCACATTATTACAGACAAAAATGCTTATTTTTACAAAATAAAGAAGAGTTAAAAATAATTGGGTAACTCAAATTCTCTAATCCTCAAATTCTTAATCTGCAAAATGAGGATAATAGTATCTACTTCATATGACGATTAAATGAGGTAGTTTATGTGAAGTACTCGCCATAGGGAGGTATATCTGAATAGACTAAGAAAATTCATCTTTCTCCTTTAAGTGTGGATTCCAATTACTGAAAGAAAACTAAGATTAAAAGCTATACTAGCATCTATTAAATAAATGCTAGCATTAAATTTTTTTTATGCTTATATTCTGTCTTCTGAAGTGGTGTATAAACTTGGAAGGCCAAGAATTGTTGGTCCCACCATTTCTTTACTGAGCACTGCACATACACATGACAGGCACCTCATAGCATGTATCTTTGACGCCACTGATGCTCACATCCAACTTTTGTATTCAGGTGACAATGGACTATATGTATATATAAATGCAAAATTGAGCATCAATATTAGGATCAGGCAAAACTGCTGACACTATTAGAGATGTGGCAATCCAGTGATGAATCTGAATCTCTTCTCCATGAAATAACTTGGTTGTCGGTACAATAACATCTCAGCAATCCATACAGATTATGAGAACAGTCCACATGAATAATAAGCATTTTTACCTTGGCTACAAATAAACATAAAATGAATTTACTCTTTTTGGAATATCATCTTTTATACTAATGGGAAGAACATAAACGGGTTTTGAACTGATTATAATATCAGATAACAGGTTTTTTAAAAAAAACAAAAAACAAGAGCAAATTCCAATGTGACACCATCTCACGTTTGTGGTCAGGTGCTTAGCGTGACTTGCTTTCTTGTAAAAAGTTATGACTGAAAGCATAAATGCTATGTCGCAGTTGCCAGTAGGTCAACCTTTGTCTTCAATAATTTCACACTAATGACTTAGAGTGAATTTTCTTTTTTTTGTAGATCGTGTGTCTCAAGTGAAGAGAGGTCATAAGAGTTAAATTTCAAAATACCTTCTTCACTGATCAAGAGCTTTCTATTATAAGCAATCCAGTGTTGATTACAAATCCCACAATAAAAGACAGACGGAAATTCAATGCCCTTCCTTCAAAGCAAGGGTAGAGAAATTTAGGAGGAGAGGATGTGACCTGTTCATCTGATTTTCTTAAGTCTTAAAGATGATCTGTGCTGTCTATTGTTAACTGTGGCTACAAGTTTTTTATTCTCTCTTGGCAGAAATGTCCTGCTTGTTACCTGCTAAGGAATGGAGGCTCATAGGCATAAATTCTTGAGCAGTTAAAGAGCTGTGAACAGTACTCAGAGAGTTAATCAAGCTTTCAGGGTAGTTGAGGAAAATGAAGATCACATATGGAAGCCCACAATTCAAGTCACCCCTAATCAGCAGGGCCTTTGAAACTCACTGGGCCTTTCTGCCTGCCTGCCTGCCTGTCATTCTCCCGTCTCTCTCTTCCTTTGTGGTTTTTCTCTCCCATTTTCCCCCCGACACTGCTTATCTTTCTTCCGTTCCTCTCCCTCTCTTTCCTGTCCCATTCCCTAGATCTTCCTATCCTCACAGCCTCTGAACCAACCACAAAACCAAACTCTATATTTTCAAACTTGTACATACATCCTATTGTGAAAACCTCCCGAGATGAAAATACTACATCCCTCTCCAAAAGAAGAGAAAAACACACCTCAACTTTTTTATGAGCGGTTGTATGAGATTGCAAAAAGGGGCTGTGCTCTGAGACTCAGGACCCCAGGTCCAGTCGGGCCGAACTTCTGTACCCCTGTCGCCTTTTTGATTGGACTTCGGTTCCCTCATCCATTAAACAATGGCATTTCCATGCCTATAATTCTTTGATTTCCTATAACACCTGCTGAATTTTTTCCTCCCTATGATTCTGTGGCCTTACCATCTTCCCCCTCCAATCATCATCCTTATTTAGAGAGAAATAAACATCATCATACTGCTTCAGGATCCATGAAAACATTCTTTCATGTCTAGTTTCTCAAGAAAAGGTGTTCATATTTCATTTCAAGAGCCCTTTAATATTTATCAGGGCTTGAAACAGGCTATGTTCAGAACATGATAAAAGTTTCATTTATTTTATTTAGTGTTTAGTTGCTTTTCTAGATTTTAACTTTTCATTTCTAATCTATGTTCTTTTCTGTTAGATCAATTTTATTTCTAATAATGAATCCATTGGCTTCTGCTGCGTTAGGTATGGTGTCTTGCCACTCTAGAGAGCTTGCAAAATTTATGTTTTTAATTTGAGTAATTAAATTGGAAATGATGTTGTGTTTTCTCACAGATAGTTTTGTAAGTGAAATTATATCTATCTTAATAATTTTATCCCATAAGAATTAATCATGTGATTGAATTTAGTATGTAAGTATAATATAAAATGTAATAATTCAAATCTTAAGCTGTGAAGATGTTATGCAACTGTGTAGAATTTATATACATAAATAGTTATAAATGGAATGCACATTTTTATGCCAAGGGCAAAATCTCAGTGAATCTTTTCTTTTGGCAGTTTTTTTATTTATTTCACCTCATCCGATCAATTAAAAGTCAAGCTTGCAACAGTCAGTGGACCAGTGCAAATGTACTAAACATCCTTTCATTAGTTTGTTAGAGATAAAAGCGACTCCTTAGACAATAAACAACAAACATTCTCGTTTTGCACAGCTGCACCCTGCTCCTACCAGCAGCATGAAATTATGCTGCCACCCATTTGGGGCCAAACCTGACAAAACATAACTTTCTGATCCTGGCACCCTAATTACAGCTTGAGGCTGCAGGTTTGAAAGGGGAGCGGGGCTGACTGTCATCTCAGAAATACTACCATGATGTCATATACTTGACACTTTCTTAGTATAGCAAGGCAGGGCTAGTCCCATGTGCGATTCTGTGAAGATGAAAAGCAAATCTTTCTAAAGATTTAAGTGATGTTTAACATTTCATTGCTGTGTTGCTGGTACACTCTGAACAAGCATTTGCAAACAAGCAGCTCTGAGACCTTTAAGTCTATGTCACTCTATGCAGAGCTCTAAAGCATATTCTCAAATTTTCATGTATGGTATTAAGTAGTAAATGCATCTTTTCATATAACAGCTATTTCTGTTTCAGAGAGCCACAAAGATAGT